TTTGGGGTGGTGTATTCTGAACTCTGTCACCTGAGAAAGTAGAAGCAAACTGGAGAGACCTTCCAGATGCCTCCACACCATACCTGCGCCCACAGACGCTGACTTTCCTTTTTGTCACCTGTGCGAGGTCCTATCGCCTCTTCTCCTGAATCTCATCACTCTAGTAGTTGATTCCCTTTTGCTCTTTCTCCCTTCCCGGGGGAGGTCTATTCGATCCCCACTTTCTCTTCCAGCCAGTGTCCCATTTTTCTGCTCACCTTAGCACCAAAACTCCTTCCAAAGTTTGTCAACCTGTAGTCTCTGTTCCTCTCTCCCTATGCTCTCTCGCGCGCCTGCTCCAGTCAGGCTTCAGTCATGGCCCTGCTCTTAAAAAGGTCCGGTTAGACTCACTGATGACCTCCAAGTTGCTGAATTTCGTGGTCATTTCTCCGTTCCTATTTTACTTGACCTGTCAGCATTTTTTCTTGGCTCCTGGACACACATTCTCCTGGATTGACTCCTCCCTCTCTGGCTGAGCCTGTGGCTCCTCCACCGGCTCCTCCTCGGCCTCCTGGCTTCTTACTGGCAGAGAAACCCAGGACTCAGCTCCTGTTTTTTGCTGTCCACCCTCATTTCTGAGAACAGTCGTGTCTATAGCTTTAAATTCCGTCTATATGCTGATGGCCCCCAGATGCCTTTCCCTTGCTCAGACCTCTCCCCTGCACTCCAGACTTGCATCTCCAGCTGCCTGCCTGTCTTCTCGACCACCTGCATTCGGACGTGCAATGGGTAGTTCAGAGTTCACAGGGCCAAAATCTAACAGCTGAGCCTCCCTGGCCTCAGGTGTTTCTCCTTAAACCTCCATCAGTGTACATGCACCTTCATCCTTCAGTGGCTCCGTCCTTGAAGAGTCTTGGTTCTCTCAAACCCATATTGAATCCCTCAGGAAGCCCTGTCAGTTGTACTTTGACAGTGTCTGGACTCTGCTCCAGCTCACGCCCTCCGCCCTTCTCTCCTCCTGCATTCTCATGGCAGCCCGCACAGAGGTCCCTGCTCTGCCCTAGCCCCTCTAGTCTAGGCTCAACACGGCAGCTGGGTGAGGCTTTTAAATGTAAAGCAGCTGTGCGTCTGCTCCAAACCCTTCGCATTCAAACTCGGCATGCCTGAAACCAAGCTCCTCACCTCCCCACCTCCCTGCACACACACCCGGCTCACAGCACGAGCCCAGAGTCCTTGTCCTTACCAGGACCAGGTGGTCCCACCACACTACCTCAGGCTCTACTTCTGCCCCTGCCGCCTCCCTGACCTTATTAGCTGACCCTTCCGTGTCCCCTCCACTCAGCCGCGCTGCCTTCCTCACTCTGCTTCAGAGTGCGTGTGGCCTGTCCTGTCTGACCAGCAGCTCTTTTCCACATGGCTCACTGCCTCACCTCTTCAGGTCTCGCTCAGTTGTTACTTCATCCTGAGGCCTTCCCTGCCCACCTTCAGGATCACAGCACCGCCCCCTTCCCCCCCATCACCTTCTCTGCTTTACTTTTTATATTTTAACTGGCTTATTTGTGCTCTTCTCCCTCTACTCCAGATGATAAATTCCATGATGGCAGAGATTTGTGTCTCTTGTTTTCCACTGAATCTCCCAGTGGAAGAATGCTTCTCACTTTTTATTCAGTGGGTATTTGTTGAATGAATGAGTGAATGAGGAAGATAGACTGGAGGAAGAAGAGACCAAGTAGAAGCACAGAATCCACGTGGAGGGACGAGTTTAATAGTTGGAGCAAAAGACTCATTCATTCCTTGTAATTTATACCAGTCTTTCTTTGAACAGTCATTTTCCTTTTTTAAAATGCGTTATTCTTTCTCATTGACACGTAAACCCCTTGGGATCAACAACTAAATTCTTATACTTTTTTGTTTCCCCAGCAAATAAGGAATAGGAAAGGTATTTCTCATTTGGCCAAAAGCTCTCAAGTCACTCAGTTTATTTTTTAGTCTTTTTTCCTTGTACTAACAATTTGCACTATTACTCCCTTATTTGTTTTTACATCGTTTGCATATCTTCCCATTGAGTACTCTTGCAAAGCAGCTAGTCTTTAGAATAAATAGAGTTAATCTGCAAAGTGGTGACTACAGTAGTACCAAGATTAATGATTGCTTCAGAGTGAGCCCAGTGGAAGTACTGTCACGCCAGCTGTGGCCTGACCTCCTCACAAACACTGCTTGGCAACTATCAATGTCACAACTTTAATCAACTCTAGGGCAAGAATCGTAAGAATCATTCCACTCTGACGGATGGACGTGAATTTAACCAGACAGTAAACCATGTATGTGCCATAAATATGCTTGCCGAGGGCATGATTCCCAGCACAGAACTTTAAGAACAGCTGTCTCATCCTGAGCTACTATTTCTTGGTGAGATAATTTGTTAACCTAATTCTGAAACAGATTACATTTATAAAGTTAATCTTTCAATAGCTTCCCCACTACCAGCAGCCTAGTTATTTTGGGGGCAATCTTTACATGAGATTTTTAAAGACTAATGACATGTTTCCTCTGCAGAGATGATGTCATTTGTCTAAAAGGGCTTGTTATCTTTTGCGTTTTGCCAGGGGGCACAAACATTAACTCTGAGCAGTCATTGGTTTTTTCTTGATGCTTTTTCCTTTTAGTTCTTCTGTTAAATTACTATATAAACTACTACTTAAATGCTTTCAGCTGTACCTTTCTTTAAAAAATACAATTCTTTTGTCCTTCCACTTCTTTCTGTCCTTATCATCAGAGATGTTTTCATTCTCTCAGCATTGCTTTCCCTGTGGAACCTCTGCAAATTAAAATATGAAGTATTTGTTCATTTTGCATTCTTCGGAGGGTAACTTCTACTGGTGTACATTTTCATTGGCACAATCCACCAGACAAAGTGTAAGTTGCTGTAAAACTGGAAAAGTGTTTGAATGAGTAAAGCAGATGTTCTCTTCACATGAAGCAGATGTAAAACTTGCAAGTGTGTGTCTAATAAAGTATAGCATTTGGTTCTCTACAGCTGGTGCTGAGATTACCAATTAATCATGTTTGAATGCATTTTTACTAATTAGGTCCCCCTCTGTTCTTTACACATTCTGAGTATATTAAAGAGAAGGATGAGGCACAAAAGCTTTCTACTTTTAGTACTTTGAGTAGTGCTTTTTTTTCTTTTTCCCCATCTTTATGAAATCAGTCTTCTTTTATTCTTAGAACTGTGTCTGTTACGAAGGCCCCACATGCACATGGCTGATTTGCCTCTCCAGTTTGATGTGGGGATGCAGGCTTGACGTTAGAATTTTCCATTGAAGGCAGACGTACTTTGAACACTTTAAGGCAGCTGGAGAGAAGAAAAGGAATGTAATTAAACTTAATGGGTTTTTTTTTTCTTATTTGTGTGGACAAAAGCTAGTATTTGCTCAGTTAACATCAATTTATAGCCTCCATGGTTACTTGACCAAGGAGGAGCTTGAACATTCTAGAAATGAGTGATACCAGTTTAGTTTCCTTATCAAAAGCAATACAGCAGTTTTTCTGAAAGATTAAAGATGAATAGATTAACGTGACTGCTAGGAAGAGTTGCCTTTACTGCTGTGAAAGATACAACACAAATCAGTAGCAAATGGAAAAACTGAAAGAGCTACATCATTTTCTATGGTCCTTTTTATATAAGGCAGGTGTGCTGATGAAGTGAAATTCCAGAATGGAGCCTTCTTTTCCTGTTTGATTTCCTCAGAATAAATTTGTTTTCTATGAAAGGAAGCTCATTTTTAAGAAGGTTTGCTACCTTATCCCTCTTCCCTTTTTTTAAAAAAAAAGAACTAACAATAATAAAACATAATAGTTTGTGTTTCAAGGTCAATAATTGGATCTTTATGCTCTTAGATAATTGAGTATTTCTTCAGTGCTTTGTTCATGAATTGATTCATCATATATTTTTTTAAAGGATAGGGGAAATATTTAAAGAAAAATTTAGCGGGCGTAGAAATACATTAAATAATTTACAGGTCTGAAGATAAATGGCATGAGTGGCTGGTTTAATGAAATGTTTATTAGTATTTGAAAAATAGCTGGAGCCGGGGGAAACAAAGATGTGCTAAAAGAAGCTTATTGGCCGGAAAGCTTAGCAGTCGCTGTCCCCCCTGGAAAGCTGCATTTGTGGAACATGGCTCTGCTGGAATAGGCGCAAATACATTTTAGACAACATATCGCAGATTCTAGAACCTGTTTTTTTGAACACTGGTGTAAAAGAATCTATAATGACATAGATTGTAATTTTTTGTTCATTTATACTGTTTTATATATGTGTGAAATACAGAATTTAAGAGTATTGTTCCGGAAAGTCTTCCCCATCCTCCTTACTAGTTGCCTCCATATTTTATGTTAATGATTTAAATTTTAAATTTCATGAAAGCATCCTATAACCAAATTGACTAATAGCTATTAATTTAAATTTTTGGTTCTTCTAAAATTTAATACTTAGGTGAAAGCAATTTAATGTTTCTTGTATCCATTTTCCTACATGAACATCTTTCCACCAAGATTACACGTGACAAAGTGAAATTCACGTGGAAAAGTTCTGCCCCATTTCACTAAGAATACCTTATAGTCTTAGAATTAAAGGAAGATTACTAATCTTATATAATGTTGTTAGCTTTTAGGCAGGTGTCTAATGCAATTATATCTCTTTTCATTTGGGAGATATTTTATACTGTCTTTTTTTTTCTAATTGCATAAGAATGGTGGTGTTTTTTTTTAAAGTTTTAATTTGTGTGAAATAAAAGAAAAACATTAACTCTGAAACGTCAACTTAAGTGAAACTGGTTGTCTCCATTTTTTAAAATTGCTTGTTATGGAAAATGTTAAACATCCGCAAAAGTAAGGAGAATAGTATAATAAACCCCTATAACATACACCCAGCTTCAACAATTATCAGTCTTCTGTTGTTTTTGTTTGCCAAGATTTCTTAAGACAGTATTTTCAAAGGTTTTTTTTTTCCTTTTAAGTTGTAGTTCTGTATCCTGTTTCTACAGTGACAATAGATATTTAAATAAAACTAGGTCATGTAAACACAGTAGACCTAACTTCATTTCAGGAAGTGGAGCGAGAAATCTCCTTCAGAACAGAATGCGGACTGTATTACTCCTACTACAAGCAAATGCTGCAGGCTCCAACCCTCATGCAAGGTAATTACAACTAATAGTTTTATTTGGGGTCTACTGCACTCGTCTCAAAATTTCAGCCAAAACATACTTTTGCACTAAAGCATTTTAAATGCTTTATAGAACTTGTATTGTTTTTCTTTGACCTTGTGTAGTTTTTCTTTGTTAACATAATCAATCCGTGAAAATGTTTTGCTCTGCAAGAAGTTAAATAATACTTTATGTAACTCTCCTCTCCTTGCTTCTCACCTCTCCTCCATCCCAAAATTAATGTTTGTGATTTCTTGGTTTTGCTGCTGATTTTCCTTGTGATCATTTTGGAAAAGGTCTTTGCAGGTGAAAAGCATATTTTCTAAAAACAGGAGGCATTTTAGTAATACAAATAAAAATGACAGTTGTCCCTCTTGTCCCTAATGCCCCTATTCATTCCTTTATTTTGCAATTGCCATTTCCCCCATTTTCCTTGTTTCTAAGTGCTTTAGAGCCCATACTCTTTATTTGTAATGGAAGCCCCAAAAAGGATCTGTCGTGCTCAGTGTATGCTTGACATGCTTAACATGGGTACATGTGACAGAAAATTGCCCTTTTCTAAGCTTTGCTTGGATTCAGATATATCTTTGGCAAGAATTCTTCGTGGTGATGTTTTGTACTTCTAATTTTATCACAATAGGAGACGTGAAATTTTAGTTATCTTTCTTTTTGTGCCATAAAAATGAGTCTGTTGGTTCCTATGTAGGTAGCCAGATTCACCCATAATACGGTTAATTACCCATCAGCCTTTCACTTGATGGTTTTAGCAGCCATTGGTGATAATTGCCTACATCCATTAGTTCAATGGAGTTACAAAAGTGACCTTCTAATTCTATCATTCCTCCTGTGTTTATTAGCTGGGACTCTGTTGTATAGAAAACCTTTTTATCATCAACTATTTGATTACCCTCAGGTACAGTTTATATAAGAAAGGCAGAATAAGTGTTGTGTTTTTTCCCTATTCAGCCAATAATCATTATTCTTGGATTCCGTATTTGCAAATTCTCGTACTCACTAGAACCTATTTGTAACCCCAGAGTCAATATTGGTGGCACTTTTGCAGTCGTTCCCGGGCTTGTGCAGGGCAGTGAAAGGTTCTGGTCACCTGACATGCATGTTCCCAGCTGGGGTCAGGCGGGGCAGAGCGCTGCCTTCTTGTTTCAGCTCGCACACTGCAGGGTCCTCACAGTCCATTGAGTGCTGTGTTTTTTGCATTTTTGTTCTTTTTGTTGGGATTTTTCAGTTTAAAATGGTCCCTGAGCATAGTGCTAATGTGCTGTCTGGTGTTCCTGTTGTCTCTGAAGGCAGTGATGAAGGCATGCAGAGACGGTACATGCGCTAGATAAGCCTTGTTTAGGCCTGGGTCAGACTGCTGTTGGCCATGAGGTAAATGTTGATGAGTCAACAATATGTACTACAGAAGGTGTCTTTAGACAGAAACACGCATAAATCAAGGTCGTGTGTTGATCAGTTGATGAAAATGCCTGACCAGAGGCTCGTAGGAACCTGACCCTGTATTTCCCACTACTTCAGGTTTGCAGCTTCGGTCTTCATTGCAACTTGGTAGACTATAACCACTATGAATAATGAGAATCAGCTGTACTCCGCTTCCCAAAACTGAGCTGCTTCTCTAGCATCCTCTAAAGCAGTGGTTCTCACTGAGGGGCATTTGTGTCCCTGGGGGACATCTGGAATGTCCGGAGACATTTTTGATTGTCACAACTGGGGGTGGGGAAAGTGTGCTACGAGGATTTAGTGAGTAGAGGACAGAGATGCTGCTAAGTATCCTGCAGTGCACAGAACAGTCCCCACAGCAAAGAATGGTTTACCCCAAATGACAAAATACCAGAAGTGTTGAAGGTGAGAAACTGCCTTAAAGGTGGATAGTGAGCATTTCCTTTTTAAGTATCACTGCCTACTCAGTGGGATTCACAGTCACGTTCCTTTGTTCGCAAGTCAGTGGAAAGGGTTCTCTCTGTCTGACCAAGCCACCAACTTAATAGGTTTATTTTTCTTTGTCTTGCTTTTGGTTTTCAGGGATTGCTGTGTACAAAATTTTATTTAATTATTTTCTACTTATAAAAAAAGTTACATGGTTCCAAAGTCAAACTATAAAACAGGGAGCATTTGGGGACGTCTGCTTCCATCCCTGTCCCCTCCACCCTCTTTCCTTCCTCGCCCTTTATGTAACCATTTTTATTCATTTTTGGTTTATTCTTTTAATATTTTTAATATGAGCAAATAGTTTATGTATTCATATTTCCCCTTTTATTTCCCAAAAAACCTGCTTCATACACTGTTCTGTATTTTGCTTTTTTTCACTTAACAAAAATCTTGACCACTCTATAGTAGAATATAAAGATATTCCTTATTCCTTTCTGCAGTTGCATAGTACTCCTTTGTATGAATAACCATAGTTTATTCAAGTAGCCTTCTTGACTTCTGTTCGGGCTGCCATAGCAAAATGCCGTAGATTGGATGGCTTAACCAAGAGAAGTTAGTTTTCTCACAGTCTGGAGGCTGGCCGGCTGAGATCAGAGTACCGGCATGGTCGAGCTCTGGTGAGGACTCTGCTTGGCGTGCAGATGGCCCCTCTCTTTGCATCCTCATGTGGAGACAGAGACAGAGCAGGCTCTGTGGTGTCTCTTCTGATGACCCGTCATGAGGGCCCCACCTGTGACCTTGTCTCACCCTGATTACTTCCCACAGACCTCATCTCCAAGTACCATCACGTGGGGGTTGGGGCTTCAACACAGGACTTTGGGCGACACGGTCAGTCCGTAACACTCCTGTGTTAGCCTGGTGAGACTGCCACAGCCTCGGATACCACGGACTGGGTGACTTAAACAACACAAATTTATTTTCTCTCAGTTCTGGAGGCCAGAAGTCCACGATCAAGGTTCCTTCAGGATTGGTTTCTGGTGAAGCCTCCCTTCCTGGCCTGTAGGTGGCCAGCTTCTTGCTGTGTTCGCACTAGGCCCCTCTTGTGTGTGTGCAGAGAGAGTGGGAGAGCTCTCGTGTCTGTTCCACTTCTTGTGAGGACACTAGTCCTAGGAGATTAAGGCCCCACCCTTCTGACCTCACTTAACCTTTAGTGCCTCCTTATAGAGCCTATCCAAATACAGCGCCTTGGGTTACGGCTTCAGCGTAGGAATTTGGGGGGACAGAATTCAGTCCAAAACACTCCTGCTGACGGACATGTGGGTTGTTTCTGATCTTTTGCTTTTGCAGATGGCACTGCATGAATGACCTCATGCCTAGTTTGTCATTTTGTGTCATTTTGTCTTTTTGCCAGTCTGTCTGTGGAGTCAATTCTAGATATGGGCTTCCCAGGTCAAAGGGAAAATGCACATGTACTTTTGCTGGGTGTTGCCAAACTCTCCCCCATAGGCATTATGTCCCAACTTTTTTCCCAACTGCGAAAGTTGCACAGTTCCCAAATGCGGTGTGTGAGAGAGCCTACCTCCTTACATCCTCGCCAGCAGAGCATATTGTCAGACTTCTTGATTTCTTCCAAGGGGGCAAGTGAGAAATGATCTCTCAGTGTAGTTTTAATTTGCGCTTCTAGTAGGAGTAAGGTTGAGCATTTTTTCATATGTGTAAGGACTGTGTGCATGTTTTATTCATACCTTCTATTAATTAGTCAGCTTGGTTACAGTAGCAAATGACCTCAATATAGCAATGGAATTAATTCTGTAACAACAGGCTTGTTTCTCACTCATTTATGCAGCCCCTATTTAGAACATGCTGTCACCATGGCAGAGGGAAAGAGCGAGATTGCATTGTCTCTTAAGGATTCTGCTCAGACATGACATGTGTTACATCCACTCACATGCCATTGGTCAGAGCAAGTAACTGGCCAAACCCATCCTGGGGGAGTCAGGGAGGCTGCGTTTACTCTTCCAAAGAGGTGCTGCAGGTCTCATGACAGCAGGGCAGTGCGGGGGCGTGTCAGATCCTCTCTGTTTCTGTTTCTGTAGAAGAGCCATATGGTTTTCTTTTCATTGTACTCACAAAAGTTATAATTTACCTATGTTTGTGTAAACATTTAAGTAATGTCCCTCTAATACATGGTAAGCTCTGTGAGAGTAGGACTGTGTTTTTTGCTTGCTGTTATAACTCCAATCCCCAGCACATCCTCTGGCACATACTAAAGAATCTATGAGTAGTTTTGAATGAATGAATAATTGTAATTGTAATTATTTTTTCCTGATTTTTTCAAATGTCAACCTTAGGTTTTCATGGCTTAATGTATGATAACAAAACCGAATCTATGAGGACAATTAACCTCCTTCAACGAATGAATATTTACCAAGAGGTCTTTCTCAGTATTTTATATAGAGTTCTACCCATACAGGTATGTCGTGTTCTGTGACATTTAATAGTTAATATCAGAGGAAAGTCAAAATCTGCCATTCCTAAATTGAAAGTTTCACCTGTTATTCTGATTTTCAACTGGCCTGGTATAAAAATAACAGTATCCTAATTTTCTCCATACATAATTGTGACCTTTTTATTTATATTTTATAAGATTTTTTACATAGAGATGCTTCCTGGCACAGGGAAGCTAATAAATATTTTTATTTGGAAATATGTAATCTTTCCTCATTTATCTTCGAAGTAAAAAAGAATTGGAAAATTCGCAAATCGCAGTGACTACTTCCCTTGTGCGTATGATAAAGTGGATGCAGTTAGGTGTGAAACTTTTCTGAAGAATGCAGCCAGAGTCCTCCAGGACTCCCTCCCTCTTTTGCTCTTGGTGGTGAGAAGAAAGGCTGCTGCACACTTTTACTTGGAAAGGGCTGGTGTGGGCTTTTTGCCTAGAATTAGTACTAAGCTTCTGAATATTAAATTTCCACTCTCATATTTTTTAAATGGCAATGAGAAGGATTAGGGCTTCCCTAACAAACATTTTTTATTGTTCCCTTTTACAGAAATATTTAGAGCCAGTTTATTTTTATATTTACACTTTATTTGGACTCCAAGCAATCTATGTCACAGCGCTTTACATAACCAGCTGGCTCCTTAGTGGTACATGGCTGTCAGGACTATTGGCAGCTTTCTGGTATGTCACCAATAGGTGAGTCGGAGTCGGTATCCCTTTCTCCCTTTCTAAAATGTAAGTTAAAGTGAAGTTACTTCATTTCCAGTTCAAAAAAAGTTGTTCTGCCCCATTTGTTTGTCTGGGAGTATTTTCTCTTTGGTTTACGTAGTGGTATTTATTTGTCTTATTTAGTTAGGTACAAATTCCTAGTTACCTATATTTCCAACTGAGGAACAGAGCGTTGAATTGCAAGTCAAGAAAATCATCCCTAATGATCCTTATTCTTTTACCAGTTTGCTGTGTGATCAATATTTCTCCAGCCACAAATCTCATCTCTTAAAGAGGTTTAATAATATTTTTACTGTCAACCTTAAAAAGGTTGTGTGTGGCGCATAATTAGCCAAGTGTAAAGCACTGTATAAATACAAGGAAGTTCTTACGTTATTTAATTAATATCTATTAGTAATTTCTACATACTGGAGCATTATGAAATAGCATTTTTAAAATGTATTGAAGGTATATTGAATTATTGCCTTGATCTACAGTAGCAACACCAGTATTCAGTAGGAGTCTTAAAACTTGAAAATGAGTTTTATTTTGATTTTATTTTGAAACCTTAAGCAAATTCCTTTTTTATTTTAACCTTTTCAAGTGCTTACTATATGCCAAGCACTTTACAAAATGCTTTCTGTGTATTCTTTTAACAGCCCTGTAGGGTAAGGACTATTATTATCATCATTCTAGGGATGAGGAAATTGAAGCTTAAGTTATATATATGTGTGTGTGTATGAGAATATATATATATATACAGGCATATATATGTGTATTTAAAGACATATGCACGTGCACACACACACAGAGCTAAGTCTTGGTGAGAATTTAAATGAAGGGTGTAAGACCACTATATTATGCTGCCTCTTTAACTTTTTAATATAACATATTATTCCTGCTAAGAGTAAGTGAAAGTCAAATTTATTGTCTCTATTAATAATAGAGTAAATAAAAGACATTTATGAAATGCCTCGTATGTGTAGGGATGGTTCTTGGTACTGGGTGTACAAAGATGAAAACTTAACAAGACTTGCCCTCTGGAGGTTCACATTTCTAGGTGAGCAAGAAGCTTTTTAAAATTATTACCGAAGACAAATTTAAGACCCAAGTGTAAATCGCTAAAGGAATAGGGAGGGGCCAGCCCAGTGGCATAGCTGTTGAGTTCACACACTCCGCTTTGGCGGCCCAGCATTCGTAGGTTCAGATCCTGGGCGCGGACGTAGCACTGCTCCTCAAGCCATGCTGTGGAGCCATCCCACATAAAATAGAGGAAGATTGGCACAGGTGTTAGCTGAGCAACAGTCTTCATCACAAAAAAAAAAGACGGAGAGGGAAAATGGAAAACATTGCTGGTGGACACTGATGAAGTTATAGAAATAGAAGTACCAGGCAGTTTGGCATGAACGTTCGTGGGCTTAGGAGTCACTCCAGCATGGGTTTGAACCCCAGTTCTACCACTTAACTAACTGCATCCCTGTGGACAGGCACTTAAAGTTTCTCAGTGCCAATTTTATGTTACAGGGATGATGACAAGGACAAATTATTATTATTGAGAACCAGTAACCAGGATCTAAGTATACTTAATGTGATAGATCTTTCACTTTGGGAATCTTTGAGGTAATTATAGTAAAATCACCACTTTGGCCATTTGTGTTTTCTTTGTGCAGAATAGACACTACAAGGGTTGAGTTCACCATCCCGTTGAGGGAGAACTGGGCGCTGCCGTTCTTTGCAATTCAGATAGCAGCAATTACGTATTTCCTGAGGCCAAACTTGCAGCCTCTTTCTGAAGTAAGTTTTTATACTGCTTTGTATGTTTTTTAATTCCCCTCTTTTATCTAAGAAGCTTAAGAAAATGTGATGTGCATAGTGTCCCAATGCATGTGAATAGTTGTTATTCTGTGACCAACTTTTTTACTTGAGTTAAATTGTTTTCTTTTTCTGAGCCTTTTCCTACTTTGCAAAGAAAATGTTTTCATTTTTGATGTTAAAAATGTGCTCTACATAATCTGCCCTTAAATAGTTGCAGCAAACCCACACACAATTTCTGCAAAGCTGTCAGAATTTTTCAGCCATTGCTCTTGAGATGTGATTTGGTGCATTATCGCCTCCATAATAGCGTGGAGTACACATACCGTATGTGAATATTTACATGCAGAGTGTCACTTTAGGATATTTAGAGCTTAAATAAAAAATGCAAGGGTTTTCAGAGCAACGGTTTATGGTTTTTCTGTTTGGTTTATAGAGATATTGGCTGCTCTTGAGAAAACTTGTGTGCAAGGCTTTTTCTTGCTAGAGACATGTAAATTATACAAAGGTTTTCTTTTCACAGAGGCTGACACTTCTTGCCATTTTCATATCAACTTTTCTCTTTAGTCTGACATGGCAATTTAATCAGTTCATGATGCTGATGCAAGCGTTAGTGCTGTTCATCCTGGACTCCTTGGACATGCTGCCAGCAGTGAAGGTGAGCTTGGCTTTCTCTGCTCACTGGAGATGGTCGTTGTTTAGTGTTTTATATCATAGAATGAGCTCAAAATAAGCACACGCTTAACAATAAAGTTGAAGCTGCTTCTAAGGTGTAATAGAAATATGCTGTGGTCAATTGAAGGTGAATAATTCATGCAGCCTCGTTTGCCCATCGTAACTTTTATTCTGTTTACTTTACATTAAAAGATAGATTTGGAGCACAAATGTCTAGATCAATTGCCTTTTATAGAGATGACTTAAATTTTAAAATATAAGATAGCTCTTTTAAAATGTGTTACTGTGTATTACCTTTTCCTTTTCAAGGAAATCAATGGGTATATAACACATTTTCTGTGATAGTTTATAAAATTTTCATAGTGACATTTAACCAGTATAAGACGTAAATCCCTATTGACTGACCAGAGGTCACATATGAAATATGGCAATTATAAGGAAACCCTTGTTTGTTTCCCAGTGTGTACTACTGTCACTTAATTGCATGGTTTTTTTCATGTGCAGAAATATGTTTTAACGTATCGTTACTATTCATAGTTACTAAAGTAGCAGTAACTTAAGTATTTTCCAGATATATTAAAATATTATCTCTAGATCTAAGGCAGCAATATAGTCTAATACAGAAGAGTTGCACTTGTTTATTCCATGTCAAAAGAGATGCAACAATCTTTGGAAACTGACCGAATCTGAATTAGGAAACGTTAAAGTCGACCAACACGTGTACACCATCTGTCTACTGAGTTACTGTAATAGGACAGGCGCTACTGAAAAGCCCAGCCTGCGTAAGACACTGTCCTGTCCATAGGTAGTTTGCCGTCTAGCTTGGGAATAAAGATATGGACAACTAGAACAATTAGAGAGGTGTCTGTATTTCTATAGATGTCAATTTGCAGTAAGGATAAGTGCTAGAAGTCTAGAAGAAAGTTCTTTTTAGGCTGGAAAGGTCTCAAAGAAGTGGGAGGCTAGAGCAGGGCCACAAGTGAGGAGACTAGAGTTCGGATAGAGTGTTGGGGGCAGGATGTGAAGGTAAAATACAGTAAAGAAAGCAAGTAGATAAGGCAAAGTTAAAATATGTGTGTGTGTGTATAGTTTATATATATGTATGAATGATAGCAGATGATGATAATAGAGCTCCAGATGCCTCTAAAAGCCATATGTACAAATGAAGCTGAGTCTATTCCTGTCTGTTCATATTTGCTTTTCCTGTCCATGGTGACTTGTAAGCTGAAGGGAAGGAGTGCCTGGTTGCCTTTGTATTTCTCCATGTCATGTGCTCCCAGGCCAGCTGGTCCTCCTTCCTCTCTTTGTATGTAATATCACTTTTTTCTACCTTTTTGTCAAGTAGTTTGAAAAGAACTCTGTACTTTTTTTTTTTTTTTTTTGGAGGAAGATTAGCCCTGAGCTAACTGCTGCCAATCCTCTTCTTTTTGCTGAGGAAGGCTGGCCCTGAGCTAACATCCATGCCCGTCTTCCTCTACTTTATATGTGGAATGCCTGCCACAGCATGGCATGCCAAGAGGTGCCAGGGCCACACCTGGGATCCGAACCAGCAAACCCTGGGCTGCCAAAGCAGAACGTGCACACTTAACCGCTGTGTCACTGGGCCAGCCCCGAACTCTGTACATTTTAAGATAAAAAATGTTATATTGAGCCATTTTGAAAAAATACATAAAATTTTTCTGTAGTGTATAATTTTTCTAAAGTGTAATTTCACAGTATGTGTCAAAAGCCTAAAAATGTGTTTGCCCAAGGAGCCAGCCCTGTGGCTGAGTGGTTAAAGTTCTGTGCACTCTGCTTTGGTAGCCTGGGTTCAGGGGTTTAGATGCCAGGTGCAGACCTCCTCCACTCATCAGCCATGCTGTAGAGGCATCCCATGTGCAAAAAATAGAGGAAGATTGGCACAGATGTTAGCTCAGGGCTGATCTTCCTCAAGTGAAAAAAGAGAAGGATTGGCAACAGATGTTAGCTCAGGGCAAATCTTCCTCACCAAAAAGCAAAAGTGTTTGCCCTTTCACCAACCCTTCCACCTCTAGAAATTTATCCTAAGGAAATAATCAAATATGTTCATTTTCGCAGTACTGTAATGCTGTAATAATAAACTGAAAACAAATCAATAGCAATAGGATATTGTTAGATAAATGTGGCATATCTATATAATAGAGTAGTATATAACCTTTAGTTTCCCCTCTCCCTTTTGAAAAAATAAAACAGAGAGAGAGAATGAGACTTAGGTTCTGGAGAGATAGATGTTAAAGTATTAGCAGTCAGCTATGTGATTGATGTTCTTATATTCTTTTTGTTATAGATCTTTTGAATTTTTCTATAATGGACGTGCATTTCTTTTTTTCTTTTAAATTAGGAAACAGAATGAAAGGTACTGTTTTGGCACACACACAAAACTTAAAGAATAATATAGTTAGTTTATTTCATATTCACTTCTAAACTTCGTGGAATTTTTATATTTGAAACTAGGTTGTTGTTAGAAGAAGTTATAAACATCAGAGTTTAAGAGAGAGTGGTATTATAATGAAAGGAGCCTGAGTTGTAAAATCAAGTTGCTATTATCAGCTCTGACAATAACTGGCTCTTTAAACTTTGGCAAGCAATTTAACTTCTTGAAGCCTTAATTTCTTCACAAATTGGAATCACTGATCTCTAATCATGTCAAATGGGAAAACATCAGAATCATCGATACAGAAAAAGATAATAGAAATTCAGAGCTGATAGTGTGACAAGAAGCACTGTCTTCTTCAGTTGGTGTCATCTTGCCACATGTGATGGAAAATCTGACCATCAAAAGCTCAAGTTTTCAGTCAGAAATGTGTGCAGGTTCTTACATATAAAGCAGAACAGTAAATAGTATTATTAAGCATATACTTTTGCATCAATAAGACTAAGAATATGGAGGTTAATAAACTTTTATTAGCCCATTGTGAAAACAACAAGACACATTAATGATCGATGCCTAAGAGGTAATTTTAAAGTACTCCATATGGTCCAGACAAGATGGAGTAAGTGCACTTTGCCCTGTTCCTTCCAGTAAGTACCACTGAAAGCGCTGGACAGTATATATAAAACAAATATAAAAAGATTTTGAGAGGTGGAGAGAAAGCAGACTGCCTAGAGACCTAGAGACCAGAGGAAGAACATGGCAGTGAGTTCCCAGGGTTTTCTTTCTGCCTCATATATCTCAGACTTGTTGCTGGAAAAGTCAGCAACCGGGAAATACCAGTGGACTCAGAAAAAGCCAAAAGGATCAGAAAAGGGGAAGCTTAGCAAGATAGAAAACTTTTGGATGTTAACTATCCTGTTTCAGCCAAACACCACAGAAAAAAACTGCAGCCCCACTCCCATCTCCACAATAAAAGTTCATTGAGTAGTCTCGATCCGCCCTCAGCCAACTGTAACGAGGTGTTCTCCACTTCCTGCCAGGGCTGTCAGAAGAAGTCTAGTGGGGGCCCAAGCTTTCATCATCTCCCACAGGCATCAGTGAAGGCCACGTGAGGAGCAGTAATGAGGTATCCCCTTCCCCTCCCAGCGAAGATGGTGTCAGCAGAAACCTCGTAAGGAGCCTAAACTTTCACCTTCACCCAGCAGGAATGAGACACCTCCTTCCCCTGCCCCACAAAAGTCATTGGTGGTCAGGTGAGCACCCTGGACATCCATCCCCATCTGGAACTAGTGAGGCAGCATCCTTCCCCTACCGACATGGCATGGCCTGGTGTCAGGGGAGGCCTGCTGCCATGGGAGACTTCAGTAACATCCAGGGTCCCATAGCATAATACAGCACAATCGAAGGTTAGTTATTATACTAAGAACCAGGAAAATCTCTCACATGAAAAGAGACAATGAACAGGTGCCAACATGAAGACACAAGTTGAATTTCTGACAAGGAATTTAAAGCAGCCATCATAAAAAATTTTCATTGAGCAATTACAGACACACTTGAAACAAATGAAAAATAGAAACTCTCTGACTTGGGATCAAGATGGCGAGTTAGGAAGATCCTGGGCTTGCCCTCTCTTATGGACACACCAAAAGTACAACTACGTAGAGAGCAACTATCTCTGAGAGCGACTAAAGACAAGCCGGAAAGATTTTCCACAACTAAGGATGTAAAGAAAAAGCCACATCAAGATGGGTAGGAGGGGTGGAGATGTGGTCCCCAGTGTGGCAACCCACAGGTGGGAGGAATATCACAGCCACAGAGGTCCTTTCTGAGGAGCAAGGGGTCCAAACCCTAAATCAGGCTCCCCAACCATGGAGATCTGCACCAGGAAGATGAACCACCATAACGTCTGCCTTTGAAAACCAGTGAAGCTGACACCTGGAGAGCTGGAGGGCTGTAGGAAACCAAGACTCCACTATTAAAGGGTGCACACAAAAATTTGCTCACTGTGAGTCCTGGCACAGAGGTAGCAGTTTGAAAAGCACCTGGGTCATGTGTGAATGAGGTTCACTGACCAGGTTTAGGGCATGTGCCAGAGGGGTAGGGATCTGCTGGAACTTTCTCCACAGATAGAGGCACTGGTGGGCACCATTTTGGTTTTTTGCTCACCTTCTACTTAGTGGGCCCGGCACTGGCATGCAGCATTTCTGACTCTCCTCATCTACCTTACTGGCACCACTCACCCCAGCCCAGCATTGTCCTGCTGACCCCCTAGCTGGTGCTCCTCCAGAGCGGCTCCACCCCAGAGGGCCAGCCCAGCACATCAGAGTGCTCACAGCAGTTGCAGCCAGCTACACTGGAGGCCTGCCCTACCCACCAGTGTCCCACAGCAATTGCAGTCCAACCACAACAGGAGGGCACATGCCACCCACACACACACGGGACACTCCTGGAGCACCTGGCCCTGGTGACCAGGGGGACCATGCTGCTGGGTCCCACAAGACACAAGGCCACTCTTTCAAGACCAAGACATGTAGCTGCACTACTTAATACATAGAAACAAACACAGAGAGTTGGGCAAAAGGAGGAGACAA